GGCCGGCCAGATCGGAGGCCACCAACATCAAGTCCGCTCTCTCCCAGGACCCTAGCCGTGGTAGGGTCGAGTCTACCGCCCCCCACCCCTCCCCACTTAACAGTCCCCACCCACCTGGCCGGCAGCCTGCCGGGCAGATGTTCCGCTGATTTTGGTGCGGGGAGACTGGCTGGAGGGGCGGGGGCAGTGCGGGGGGTGGGGGGAGGGGGGTGCCAGCGCGAGGGGATCGAAGGGCACCCTGGGGAAGTGAGCAGAGGAGAGGGATTGTAAAGCCCACCTTACACGCCAGCTCTTTGCTCCGGTCGATACGCGCTCGCGTGAGGGATTCGATCCGAGACATAATCCCCCGGTGGGGATTTGCCGGAGGGGCACTAGGGACCCAGGCGTCCAGCTATTGTGGGGGAGGAGGGAACGGGCTGCCCAGCACACGCTCTGGGGACAGGAAGTCTGACTCCCCTCGCGGCACCCGCGCCAGTTCCTCAAACCCGAGTCTCCACCCCCTGCCCGGGCGCAGGAAGGGGGAGGCGGGGCGGAGCAGGGCGGGTACCCGCGGGACTAACTGCTTGGTCGGTGCAGGAACAGCTCGGAGGAGTAGAGGGGTTCTGCGCAAGCAAGTTGAGGGTCCCCTCCAGCGCTTGGGCCGTTTTCTAGCCCCAGAGGCCCGCCTGAGCTCTGGTCTTCCAAAAAGCCACCGCTGCCCAGCCCCGCAGCCCTCACCCCAGCCCAGGTCCTCTTTCCCCCTCCTTCCAGTCTGCAGGACTTAAAGACCCGCATGCCAGAGGATTCCAGCCGCCCCCAGCTCTCAAGGGAACCCGCAAACAGTTCCTTCCCGGCCCTCAAGCCCATCAAAACAAGCCGGAGAAGAAGAGGGCGGGGAAGTCAAAGGGGAACTGAAGACTGGGTCTTTAGAAGGCGTTAAGGAGAGTAGTACTTCCAGAGGACAGACACGGAGAGGAGAGAATTCTCCCGCATGCCCCGCCCCTCTGGGATCTTCCTGATCTCACTCTGTCCGGGTCCCTTCGCCTCCACCCCTATCCCGACTCTGCCAAAGAGGAATACTTTGTGGAGCCAGAGAGGAATTCGCCACCTTTACTAAAAGCTAAGAAGCTGAGGAAGTCCTTCCTTGTGTCTAACTAGTTGCAAATTACGCCAGAACAAGCCTGAAAAAGACCAGAAACAAGCCTGTCCAATCAATCGGGACAGTTGGGCCATGGCCAGTCTCTCCACAAGGTGGGTGGGGCAGGTCCTTTCTGGACACTTTGCCCCAGCCCTTGAGGCAAGCTCCACCGTTGGTGAACTTCCTGCTGCTGGGAAAATTCCTCCTCCGCTCGCTAGCTGTAGGCACTCACACTGCAGCTCCTTTCTGCCTCTTAAGGTCTCCCATTTCTCTGGGGAAACCAGGAGCACGGAACGGCCTGAGACAGAGTACCCCATGCTTGCAGAGTTTTGCCCAATTCTGGTACCTAAAGGTGTGGGGGAGGAGGGAGGGAGAGGGAGCCCAACCCAGATTTAGTGGCTTCCTGGCCCAGCTGGCTGGGCAGCAGGGCCAGGCTGCAGGTTTCAAGCCCAGCTCAGCCCTCTTGTAGGTGCCAATTTTAGCTTCTGCCACTATTTTGGGCTCTACTGCCTCACCACTGGCTGAGCTGGTTGGGCTCCTCACCCCCAGCACCACCCCCACACTGCTCCTCTGGCTTCCCCTCCTGCCTAGCAACTCCTTCACCTCCTTCTTCACCCATTCCCCTGTTAGGATCCTTATATAGCAAAGACCAGAAAAAAAGGAGCAGAAAGAACCATGCCTGTTCTAGGCTAGATGGAAAGTAGAAAGCAGAAAGGACTTCCCCAGGATGGTTAGAGAGACCGATTCCTCCAGGAGTGCATCTGCTGGGGAGACCTCCTGGACGGCCCTAGGAACTCCCCCAAACCAGCGGTCCAGAGGCTCCCAGGCAGAGCCCCAGACTTACCTACCCCCAACCCAGAGGGCAGCCAAGGCTGAAGAATGTACTAAATTTAAAAACAGAAGCCAGAACCCTGGCTTCATGGCTCCACCCACTGGGGGCCCAGAGACCAGAGGTGGGCTGGGACCTCAGCTTTTCTCCCAGGCCTGGAGGTGGGAGGGTTCTGCAAGCTACGATAGAATCTTAAAGGGCCAAACTCCAGTCTGAGTACCCAATAAACCTGAGACCTGAATCCCAAAGTTATTTGAGGGATCTCTCATTCCCTAAACTAAACTTAAGGGGTCTCTCTATGAAGAGGGCCTACCTAACCTTCCAACTCTCCGCAGTTGCCCACTCCAGTCTTCAGGCTGCCTTCCGGCCCATCTGCTGCCTGTTGCCCTGTGCTCTTCCTCCTCACAGGAGATGGGTAGCAAGGAGGAGGACATGTGGACTGGAAAAGGAAACCAGTTTACCTTTAAAAACACCAGGGCTGACCAGGCTGGTATGGCTCAGTGGATTGAGTATGGGCCTGCCTACCAAAGGGTCACCTGTTCAGTCCCCAGCCAGGGCACGTGCCTGGGTTGCAGACCAGGCCCCTGCCTAGTAGGGGGGCACGAGAGAGGCAACTACACATCGATGTTTCTCTCCCTCTCTTTCTCCTTCCCTCCCCTCTCTCTAAAAATAAATAAATAAGACCTTTTTAAAAAATTGCTCAAATTAAAAAAAAAAAAAAACACCTGGGCTTTTGTGAGCTAGACCTGCAGCTTGACTTAATTTCCATTCTCTGCGTCCTCTGGAATGCTGAGCCCTTTCCCCTCCTCCTTGGCATCCCTTGCCCCTCCACCCAAGCCACTTGTATCCCAGCCACTTGGACTCTTATCGAGTGATCTCTCCCAGATATTCAGAAATTATTTTTAAATATACAAAATAAAAGCCAACCCTAATTTCTGCCAGAATCTAAAAGTGGCCACCACCTTCTTAGTTCATTTAACTTAACAGATGTGTCCCCCACATCTCAGGGGCAAGGAGCCCGTCCCCGGGAAGAACCTCATTGTTGGAGTCAGAGTCGTGGCCAATAAGTGAACGGATAGAGCCCCAGGGACACCTGGGCCCAACTGCTTCAGTGCCCAGGAGGACACCTGCTTTTCTTATTACTCTGGACCTTGTGCATTCTGGGAGGGGATGATTAAGACATAACCAACTCCAGCGGCCAACCTTCAGAAGATGGTGGAAGAAGGGAAGAGAAGGGATAACTTATTACATTAGCTTTACTCACAGGCAGAGGTAACATTCTATAGTTACAGCTCCACCTCTTACAGCTATGGGATCTGGGGCAAGTAATTTAGCCTCTGAGTTATCTTGTCTTTAAAAATGGAGGTTAAAATGTTTATCTTCCCCAGAGTGTTATAAGAATCAAATAAAATGACCTCTGGAAAAGTGTCTTGTCAACTCTACAATGCTAATCAAATAGGAAAAAATAAGCCCTTCTTTCTCTCACTGCTTGGCCGAACTTCTCTCCAGCCTCACCCCTGACGTTTACCTGTTTACGGCCCCTGTCCTGAGCTGGGAGGAAGGGGAAGAAGAGATGTGGTGAGGCAGGCACATACATTCATGAGCATGGAAGGAAAAGGGACCAGGAGATGGTGGAGAGGAAAACAAGAAGATGGGGCCAAAGGTGCTGGTGTGGAAAGGTCTAGTTGGACAGTGTCCTGACTGACTCTGGCTCTTTCCTGCTTCTTGTCTGGGTTCCAAAGCCCTGCCCACATTCCCCGACACCGGGTTACTCAGTCCTTCACCAACTGTTAGGCCAAGGGTGGACAAAAATGCAGATCGACTGGGATCTGGGTGGCCCCAGGGCAGTACCGCTCCCCTACCATTCCCACCACAAGGAAAGGGCAATTCTGCCAACGGACTCTCCTACCCTGAACTGAGCCAGAGAGCCTGTGGGGAGATGGGGCTCAGACCCAAAGCTTTGAATAAGCTTTGTTCTCCAGAGCGCTCTGCTCCCTCATGGCAGAAGACAGGCCTCACTACCCACCTGCCTTCCCCCAACCCCAGCTTTAGGCTTCTCCAGCTGCTCCTCCTCTTCTCAAGACTAGGAGGTCTCAAGCCCCAACCCCCCACGTTGGCCTGTAGAGAGAAGGTGCTAATGATATGGTTTTATCTCTTTTATCCTGGTCCACCCAGAGGAGGGGAATCCTGGCTAACAGGCTGGTGGAGGAGAGAGCCCTGGCACTGTGGTTGGGGCTGGGTGGAGCCTGGACAACCTTCCCGGTGAGACTCCCATGATTCTTCCACGTGAATAAGAGATGCCTTCCCTGGGGTGTCTCTCAATGCTCAGGAGCCGCCCTGGGGTGGAAAGTACATGCATGATTGGAGGGGGGGCCACCAGAGCAAAAGGGGTGGCTCATTCTGCCAGTAAATGGAGAAAGTGGAATGAATTCAAACAGCAGGCAGAGTTCCTGGTTTTACCAGAGTCCAGGGGTTGGTAGTAAGGAGGAGAGCAATGTGCCTTCACCTGCCCAGGGTCAGAACTGCACGTGGCCTTACATGGACAGCGTGCGTGTCCTTCCCTATCATCTCCGTTCCTGGCTGCCCCTCTGCCTATAGTTTAATTTCGACTCCTGCTGTTGCTATATTCTCCCATAAAATTATGAGTGTGAAAAGCACCTTGCAAACCCTAAGACTATATGAAGAAGTAAAAAGCACTGCTGTAATTATTATTATTGTGCTTAGTGGTTATGATTTCTGCTGCCCATTTCTTAGCTGTGTGAGTGCTAATGAAAGGGGGGGCTAGGCCACTCCACTCTACAGCTGCTGAGGTTTCTGGCTGTCTCTTCCAGATGTCCACAGCTGGCTGCTAAGCTGCAGACATGGGAAAAATAGAAGAAAGGTGATTTACTAGAATATCAGGAGAGATGGCGTATGTTCTCTTGAAACTTGAACATTGCCCTGAGTCCCTGTCTACCAGGGGGACCTGGGAAGCGAGCAGACGGTGGAGTGAGGAAGAAGGGAACTGGGGAGGCAGTGAGTCCCAGGCCTCCTACTTCCCCAGCTGACTCCTACCTTGGCCTTTCCGGTCATGCCCAAGAGGAAGCTGAAGGTCCGACGCAGGGAGGAGCCTGCCCAGGTCCCTGAGCCCCTTTCCAATTGGCTACAGCTGTAGAAAGAGAAGGAAGAGGTGAAAAAATACTCTCAGAGAGATGGTGAGTGAAGGTGCCAAGATAAGGAGAAAGAGAGAGAGAGGAAAGGAGGAAATATACTCAGAGAAAGGGTGAGGAAGAGAGAGGAAAGACTCCGAGAGAAAGATACTCCCACCCCTACCTCCCAGGACTTCTTGGATGTGGATACTATGGTTTCCCAGGCTGCTCTATTTATGAGGAAAACCCCAGGCTCCTCCCAGATAAATGCAGACCCACCCTCACCCCAACCCCCTACTTAATCCCGGCCCAATCTCCTCTCTCATGCTGCTCCTAACGGAAGTGGTATGGGATGGGGGCTCTCCCGGGTGGCATTTTCCCCTGTAAAACAAGAGCCCTGTTTACGACCCTCTCTGCTGTTTGGAAAGGGCCTCTGGGCCTAAAGCCAGTAAGGACTGAATTTCCTGGGATTTCATCAGCCCCATCCCATGAGCTAATCCCAAACCCAGAGCCAGGAGGATGTGTCAGCTAGAGATTTTCAGGACCACAAATCAGAGCTTAATATCTTAAAGGGCCCGTTCATAGCTCACACACCCACACCGCCTTAGAGGCCCGACCAACTCTAATCAGGCTTCATCTGCAGGAGCCAAATAAACAGGTGCTGATTTTCCATGCTTATTGACAACTGTACTTATTGAAATGTCCTATCCAGTCTCTACCCAGATTCCTGAACTGTGCCTTCAGCCCCTGCCCTCTCCCCTCGAGGCTCTCCTCAGAGCCATTGCCCAGATCTCCTGGGAGCCACTTCTCATTGGTCAATCAGCTGAGCCACCCAAAGCTGATCCATGGTCCTAGGTCATTGTCTTTCCCAAAGGCTGCCCAACAGCCTGTCTGCCTGCTCAGCTTTCTGGCACTGACACAGCAAGCTACTCCCACTGTCTTTTATTTCCCTGACACCTTGGGGTCCAATTACTCCTTTTCTTTCCTTAATTTCTTCCCTATCCCATGGGCTAAGAGGAACCTTCTTGTGCCTTCCCTGACCACTGAGAAGGGAATCAATTATATGCAACTCAGGGAGAAGGATATTTGTCTTATATCAAAAATGTTAAGGGGAGCAATCTTTTAGGAAGCATTGCTCCTCCCCCAACCAGGCCTTTGAAGGGCTCCAAGCCTCCCCAAACTCACCTTTGGCTAAGGTCGGCTGCGGCAGGCGACTGGGATAAATTTCCTGCCAATACAAAAGGAGACGAGAAGTGTCTGGCTGAAGCCTGACAAAGGCGCCCAGGGCTGCCGCCCCCACCCCCTCCACCTGGATCAGGTTCCCAAGCTGCAGGTGCAGGTGACGCCATTCTGCAGGGCAAGCTCTGGGGAATAGGGAGGGAAGGCGGGGTCTGAGCAGAGCTAAAGAACTTGGGAGCCAGAGAAACAGAGCACCAGGGTTATGTGGAGAACGGAGCTATGAACTCAACATCTCAGTCCTATTTCTGGTGAATGGGGAGGGCAGAGGTTTCACACTGAGCTCTCAATGCCTCATCTTGAGGACAATGTACATTGCAGTTAACTGTCCTATCTCTGGTGATAAGGAAAGTTGGAGAGCTTCAGGCGGTCCTATGTTCTCCTTCATTGGAAGAAGAGTGTCAGAATGTCAGCGTCCTGAATTCAGACCTCTCACCTAAATAAAGGCATTTTGGGGTTTCCAAATAGTAGTTAGATATAACCTAGGGCAGCTGAACCCTACACAGCGGGACCTGAGGAATGGTGCTGAGACAGACAGGAAAGGGCTACCACTGCTTTGCTCCCCACTTGACTCACCAGCTGGATCTGAGCCACCCAAGAAGCAGTTGATGCTACTCATGGATACAGACTTGGAAAGCATGCCAGTGGCTGAGTGGTCCAAAGGGCCAGCAGACGGATGACAGGAACACTGACCCTAGAATCACGTCAAGAATCCTCACACAGGGTTAGGCTTCATCCATCTTCCCCCCATCTTTTCACTTCCCCTCACAGCCTGATCCTTCTTCAGGGCCTCAGGCCTTTCACCCCTCATCAGGACCCATACCTGGGATATTCCATTTGAAATAGTTGGGAAGTTCTTCCTGCTAGTTACTAGTCACTACTCTGAGCAGGCTTCCTTATTAAAGAACACATCTTAGAAAAGATTGTCCCTGAACGGTTTACAGAGATGACAAACTCAGTCTATGGAGGCCAGATAGGTAATGAAAAAAACTGAGCCTGTCTGAGTTTAAGACAATAGGGAATAAAAATATTTATAAACCACACACCCAACCATTAGAAAATACTTTTTTTCCAAACCCACATGGAGTATTACAAAACTGGCTACATATCAGGTCATAAGGCAAATTTTAATAATTCAAATAATCTGTGTCAAAGAGATCATAGGAAACAACCCAGAAATCCCTTTCCAATAGGGCAGATAAGGAATCTGTGATATATTTATACATCAAAATACTATTCAACAATAAAAGTGAATCAACCACAGCTCACCCAACAATATAGATGAAGCTCACAAACATAATGCAGAGTGAAAAAATCAAGACACAAAAGATTTACATGCTGTATGATTAAATTCATATAAAGTTTAAAGCAGGCAAAATTAATTGATATTGTTGATATATGCATATAAAGGTGCTAAATCTATGAGGAGAATCAATCTCAAAGGCAAGAAAGTAATCATCTCTGCCAGGAAAGAGAGAGTTGTAAAGGAGTGTTGTTAGGAGCATATGGATTTTGGTGAGACTCTCTTTTTTTTTTTTAACTCGGTAGTTACATTAGTGTTTGCTTCCTAATTATTCATTACATTGTACATGTAAGTTTTATATGCTTTTCTGTATGAAATATTTTTTAAAAACTTTTAAGTTTTGAAAAGGTCTCTATGATTTAGAAATTTTGAAATACCAACTTCTGGGCAAGATGGAGGCATAGGTTGATACACTTTTTCTCCTGGCACAACTAAAAGAAGCACAAAAACAAATTTAAAAACAAAAAAACAACTGTAACTGCCAAAACATCAAACTGTATGGAAGTCCAACAACGAAGGAGATAAAGAAGAAACATTCATCCAGACTGGAAGGAGGAGCAGAAACAGGCAGCCAGGGTGGAAAGGACACACAGCAAAGCTGCTCATGGAAGGCCAGGCAGCTGAGGCAGCGGCTGGTAGAGCAGGCGGTCCCACATTTGCACGCAGATAAATGGAATGAACAACTGGAGAGTGAGACAGAAACCTCTGGCTATAAACCTCCAAAACCTCTGGCTATAAAAACCTGCGGGGGTTGCAGCAATGGGAAAAACTCCCAAAATCACAGGGGAGTTCACTGGAGAGACCCACAGGGTCCTACAAAAACCCACCCACCCGGGAATAAGCACCAGAAGGGCTCAATTGCTTGCGGATGGCAGGGGAAGTGATGAAAGCAGGGCAAGAGCTGAGCAAGCAGCATTTTTCCCTCTATGACCCCTTCCCCACATACAGTACCACAACACAGAGATGTAGATTGCACCACCCTGTTGAATACCTAAGGCTCTGCCCCTTACAAACAAACAGGTGTGCCAAGACAAAGAAATGTGGTCCAAATGAAAGAACAGATCAAATCTTCAAAAATAGAACTAAGCAATGAATGACTTGTGACACTTCCAGCAAGATGGAGGCATAGGTGGACCCACGGTACCTCCACGCACAACCAAGATTAGAACAACAACAATTTAGAGCCAGAATAATACCCAGAACTGATAGAGAATTTATCTGAATGGAAGTCGGCCAGCCAAGAAGTTGAAGTAGACCCATTCATCCAGACCGGTAGGAGGGGCAGAGAGGAGGAATGGGCGCACGGAGATCGGGGAGAACTGGGCGCATAAGGCAACCGGGAGTGCATAAGCCTTTGGGACGCAGCGGTGGGCACTGAGTACACAAGAGGCGGCTGGTGGACCCAGTGAGGCGGCACTGTGGACCAGGGTAGAGCGCGCAACCCAGGATCCCAGAGAAGGCACTGAGATCCCAGGAGAATGGAGCTACCGCCATTGTTCCCTCCCATCGTCGCGCACGCCCCACCCCCACATATAACGTCACAATCTAGCGACTGGGGTGCCCAGCCCAGAGGAACACCTAAGGCTCCGCCCCTCACGATAACAAGAACGACCAGACATGGGTGGGGGGTGGGGGGAAAGAGAGAGAGAGAGAGAGAGAGACACATGTTTCCAACAGAAGAACAGATCAGTCCCCCAGGACTCATCCTTTTGAGTGACCAAGAAATAGCCAATCTATCAGATGCACAGTTCAAAACACTGGTGATCAGGAAGCTCACGGAATTGGTTGATTTTGGGCACAAATTACATGAAAAAAATGCAGGTTACCATAAAAGAGATGAAGGAAGATGCATGGAGAACCAATAGTGAAGGGAAGGAAACTGGGACTCAAAACAATAGAGTGGACCAGAAGGAAGAAAAAAACAATCAAGTAGGAAAGAATGAAGAAATAAGAATTCAAAAAAATGAGGAGAAGCTTAGGAACCTCCAGGACATCTTTAAACATTCCAACATCTGAATTATAGGGGGTACCAGAAGGGGAAGAGGAAAAGCAACAGATTGAGCACATATTTGAACAAATAATAAAGGGGAATTTCCCCAATCTGGCAAAGGAAATAGACTTCCAAGAAATCCAGGAAGCTCAGAGAGCCCCAAAGAAGTTGGACCCAAGAAGAAACACACCAAGGCACATCATCATTACATTAGCCAAGGTAAAAATGAAGGAGAGAATCCTAGAAGCAGCAAGAGATAAGGGGACAGTAACCTACAGAGGAGTTCCCATCAGACTGTCAGCTGATTTCTCAAAAGAGACCTTCCAGGCAAGAAGGGGCTGGAAAGAAGTATTCCAAATCATGAAAGACAAGGACCTATATCCCAGATTACTCTATCCAGCAAAGCTTTAATTTAGAATGGAAGGGCAGATCAAGTGCTTCTCAGATAAGGTCAAGTTAAAGGAGTTCATCATCACCAAGCCCTTATTTTATGAAATGTTAAAGGGACTTATCTAAGAAAAAGAAGATTTAAAAAAACATGTATAGTAAAAGGGCAGCAAACTCACAATTATTAACAACCACACCTCAAAAGCAAAAACCAAAAAGAAACTAAGCAAACAACTAGAACAGGAACAGACCCACAGAAATGGAGATCACATGGAGGGTTAGCAACAGGGGAGTGGGAGGAGGAGAGAAGGGGAAAAGGTACAGAGAATAAGTAGCATAGAATGTGGGTTGAAAATAGATAGGGGGAGGGTAAGAATAGTATGGGAAATGTAGAAGCTAAAGAAATTATAAGTATGACACATGGACATGACTAAAAGGGGGGATATGGGTGGGAGAGGGTGTACAGGGTGGAGGGGAGTGAAGGGAGGAAAATGGGACAACTGTAATAGCATAATCAATAAAATATATTTTAAAAAAGAACTAAGCAATGAAGAGATAGCCAACCTATCAGATGCAGAGTTCAAAACACTGGTAATCGGGATGCTCACAGAAATGGTTGAGTATGGTTGCAAAACAGAGGGAAAAATGAAGGCTATGCAAAGTGAGATGAAGAAAAACACACAGGGAACCAATAGTGAAGGGAAGGAAACTGAGACTCAAATCAACAATCTGGAACAGAAGGAAGAAATAAACATTCAACCAGAACAGGATGAAGAAACAAGAATTCAAAAAAGTGAGAAGTTTAGGAATCTCCGGGACAACTTTAAATGTTCTAACATCCAAATCATAGGTGTGCCAGAAGGAAAAGAGGAAGAGCGAGAAATGGAAAACTTATTTTTAAAAATAATGAAGGAGAACTTTCCCAATCTGGCAAAGGAAATAGCCTTCCAGGAAGTCCAGGAAGCTCAGAGTCCCAAAGAAGTTGGACCCAAGGAGGAACACACCAAGGCACATCATAATTACATCACCCAAGATGAAAGATAAGGAGATAATCTTAAAAGCAGGAAGAGAAAAGGAGACAGTTACCTACAAAGGAGTGCCCATTAGACTATCAGCTGACTTCTCAAGAGAAACCTTGCAGTCAAGAAGGGGCTGGAAAGAAGTATTCAAAACCATGAAAGGCAAGGACCTGCATCCAAGATTACTTTATCCAGCAAAGCTATCATTTAGAATGGAAGGGTAGATAAAGTGCTCCCCAGATAAGGACAAGTTAAAGAAGTTCATCATCACCGAGCCCTTATTATATGAAATGTTAAAGGGACTTACCTAAGAAAAAGAACATCAAAACTGTGAACAGTAAAATGACATCAAACAGAACTATCAACAACTGAACTTAAAAAAAATAAAATAAAACTAAAACAAACTAAACAAACAACTAGAACAGGAACAGAATCACAGAAATGGAAATCACATGGAGGGTTATCAGCCAGGAGGGGAGAGAATGGGGAAAAGGTACAGAGAATAAGAAGCATAAATGGTAGGTAGAAAATAGGCAGGGGGAGGTTAAGAATAGTATAGGAAATGTAGAAGCCAAAGAATTTACATGTATGACCCATGGACATGAACTAAGTGGGGGAATGCTCATGGGAGGGGGTGTGCAGGACAGAGGGGAATACGGGGGAGAAAAATGGGACAACTGTAATGGCATAATCAATAAAATATACCTTTTTTGCAAAAAAATACACCTTTTTGCAATAAAAAATTGCAAAAAGAAAAATAATGAAATGGAACTAAATGGAAGAGGAAAACACCAGAGTACATAGCTTGAGTGAAGGCATGGTATCATGGAACTTCTTTGATTCATAAATGCGTGTATATGTGTGTAGTGTAATGATGCAAATGTACTCTTTTTTTTTAGTTAAATTTATTGGGGTGACATTAGCTAAAAAGATTATGTAGGTTTCAGGTGTATAGTTCTGTGACACATCATCTGTATATCGTACTGTGTGTGTGC